AAAAATAGTACTCGTACGCGCGATGCGTCTTTCAAAGGGACGCGCGGCGCGACTTGCGCTCGAAAACATTTAATATCTTTCGATGTAACAGCCTTTCCATCGAATTGTAAAAATAATTTTGTAGTAGATAAAACAAGAAACAAAATGATTTTTTACGCAATCGATTTAAGTTGGGGCGCGCGTACGTAAAACCAATGTAAACAATCAATTGTTATTAATGTTAAAATAATTGCAAATATCCTGAAATACGTGTCAAATGATTTTATCTATGATATCTGTAAAAAAATTTCAGCCAATTCTAAAATGTCAAGGTACGGTTTGTAAAAGAATGACCTAATTGGTAGACTTACTGATCTATAATATAAATGCCTTAGGTCGGAGTTATTTCTATCCTATTCCGCGAACCTAAAAGTCAATTCCCTCACATGTCTAACATCATGCCACACCTGAACACTCTTAATATCACCCACATCATGCGAATGCAGACACTCGTGCACAAAATTACTATGTCCCTCGTATGTCACGATGCCATCCTCCTCCAAATGTATGCTGATGGTGAACTCCGCCCCTGGTCGAAAAGGGTTGGAATGGGGCTCACTTTGCTGTTGCCACTCGTTCCCCACTTTTTGATTTGTCACTATGTGGGATTCGTCTGGGTCCCCCTCGGAAGCGGGAAATATTGTCTTGCTGTGGTAGGCCACTTCTCTGGGGGGAAAATGGTGGTCGCAGCAGAGGTTGATGGAAAACCTGGGGGGAAATGAATTTTGTTGTAGTAATAGATACATGGAATATTTGGGGGATTGAGTCAAAATTTATTTATTTATTTTAAGTATATAGCCCACAGATTTCTTCCAAGAGACTTCAAAAATACAGTTATTTTACATAATGAATAACAATTAAAATATATACAAAATTACAATATATAGTTATTAACATAAAATGCTTAACATAAAATTACATATAATGCAGAATGTAACAATATTATTTATATACAGAATAAGATAAAATAATGAGATATTTGTAAAGAAAATAAAAAGGTTAACTTGTGTAGATGGAGATTATTGGATTAGGTGAAGTGTTGTGAATATCTATTTCATTATTAATCAAGTTAAAGTTAGAGGACACAAGTCAAATAGGCGAATTTAAGAGAGAATTAGATTTAGGAGTAGGATAATTGAAAAATAATTGTGAACCTTAAAGGACAGTTGGTTAAGAATAAGAGGACAGTCTATAGAATTATTGCAAAGTTTAAATAAGAACATAATTGTACAGATAAATCGACGTGAGGCAAGGGAAGGAATACCAAATTCTTTTAGTAAAGTGTTGTGGTCAAAACTAGGGTTTGTCGGTTTTCAAAACCGTTTTTTTGGCGAAAATTATAGAATTCGTAACACCGGTTTTTTAGTGAAAAAAATCGGTTTCCACTGTATAAATGGAAAATGACAAATATAAGCAAATTTAAAAGATAGTTTCAAGCGTTTTGATTCTTGGAATCATATCGGTTTAACAGCATTTGTAATCCTATCAGCCTTCTATGGTTTCCAGAAAAGTTTTGTGTTATTAAGTGAATATGTATATTAACTTTGATATTTATACCAGTATGTATATTAATTTAAATCAGTGTGACGTCTTGAAGAAGTAACTTCTTCTATTCAAACTTAAAAAAAATAAGAGTTTTGAGCCGTAGAAGACACAAATAAATGAACTAAAAACTAACGAATTATTATATCAGGCTTTAATAACAAATCTAGCTTGGTCGGAAGTGAGAGAGTATTTTCTATTTTTTGAAATTTTGTGAGTATACAAAGGATACGTCTAAGTAACAAATCGATAATTCTCAGTTTTTTAAAATCATATTTTATTAAACAAACAAAAAAATAATTAGAATTTTTTAAATTAATTAATAAAAATTGCTCGGAATAGAAAATACTCGGGGTTTGGCCTAAAATTGATATTAAACAAATATATATCATCATGTATTTAATATTTTTAATTTTTTTTTTAAAAATTAATAAATGTTTTTTATTTAAAAATATATTATTTTCAATTACTCGAAAACTTTCCGTATATAAAAATATATATCCGCTATCATAAAATATAAATATATAATAACGAATGATTATTTTCAAAGTTATTTAATCCAGATAAACTATTATTTTTTTGTTCTACTAATTAAAATTAAAATAATTTTGTTTACTATCCATAAAATTGAACAATAATTAAATTCAATCAAATCCTGCTTTAAATCTCACTAAATTTGCGGAATTTTTTTGTTATTACAAAATATTCGAGCAAAAATTGATTTTTTATATAAAATTCGAAAACCGGTTTTCTGGTAAAAGTAAAATTCGAAAACCGGTTTTCTGAAATGTCGGTTTTTGGATAAACCCTAGACAAACCACGTTCAGGGTAATTTTTTTTATCTTTTATAATAAAGATATTTCAGAAATTTTCGCTTAACCTTCTCTATCGCATCAGAGTTGTTGATTTGATGAGGATACCAAATAATCGAACCATATTTTAATTTTGAACATACAATAGAATAGTACATGCAAAGAAGTGCATTGTTAGAATTCAATTTCTTACAATTGCTCAGTATCAAACCTAAAGATTTATGTGCTATATTACAAATATCAGCTATATGATCCAGAATCGAATAAAACTCCTAAATCTTAAATTTTATTACATCTATCTTATTCTTACGCGCTTATGTGAAAAACTAAGAATCTTGCACTTTGGTATATTTAAATGTAATTTGTTATAGACACACCAAGAGTGGAGAGAGTCAAGTTGAGACTGTAATAATAAGCAGTCATCAATAGAATTTATTTTGAGATATAGTTTGAGATCATCTGCAAATAATAAATGTGGACAGCTAATAATATCAGATATGTCGTTAATTAAAAAAATAATAAATAGTAGTGGACCAAGAATGGATCCCTGAGGAACACCTGAACTGATATTTTCAATGTTGCTCAAGAATCCATTAAGATAGACAAACTGTTTACGATTATGAAGATAACTCTTAAAAAAGGGAATAAGTAAAAAATTAAGACCAATCTTAGATCATTTATTAAGAAGAATGTTATGATCAATTTTGTCAAAAGCTTTACTAAAGTCAGTGTAAATAATATCAACCTGTCCATTAGTGTCAAGATTCTCAGCTATATATTGTTTAAAATTAAGTTGTTTATAATATTTATCTCTACAGCACCTCTATGTACTTTACTGATTGAAACAAGAAACTTCATAGAGTCGTGCACTTTTATGCATGTATCTATTATATCTCTTGTAACTTTTAAACTATTGGTGATAGATGTATGATATATTCGCGGGATTTATCTGAAATTTATCTTATTTTTGTTTACTTACTTTTCTGGTTCATCTGCAACCATTCCTTTAATAACCACGACGTCTCCGTGACGGAGAGGACGTGGTACATGTCCCACAAAATGGTTATTTGGTGGCGACATTTGTGGTTTAGGGCCGGGATCGGGAGGAAGACCACTTTTTCCACCTGGATAAAAAATTGTTGAATAAATAATAGATAATATAAACTAGTGGTGTATGGCATCGTGTCTTAAGGCAAATTGCTGGAACTTCCCGTACCGTAACGAAATATTCGAGAAATTTTAAACGTTTTCAAATATATGATTACAAATACTGTATCTTTCATTATTTTTGCTATCTTATTGTTATATCTGAGCAAATCAAATGTAAATCAAAAATTATAAATCAATTTATCTCCAGAACATTAACAATCGTCATTTCATTTCGAATTCAATTTCAAAAAAAAGTTGCCCAATTTGCACAAAATTGAAAAAATGCTCCCGTATAGTCACAGTCTAAACGCATTTGCAAATAATTCTGTGCGACATTTTTACTTGTACTGTGCTTAGCTTGGCGGCATTTTCGCATTTTTCAATAGTTTTCACAAAATTGGAAAAATGCGCCATTACATAAACAGTCTAAACGCACTCGGGTAAACATTTGTACCAGAGTGGCGCTTAGACTGTGCTTAGCCTGGGTAATTTTTTGAATTTTTGGAATTTTTAATCTAAAATTACAAAAATATTTTATGGAAAATAAAAAAAGATGTTAGAATTTTTTATCCTCAACAGCAATTGTTTAGTCAATACAAGCAGAAAGTTTTTTTTAGATCATTCAAATCGGACGCTTAGTTCACTCAAAAACTGCCATTTTTTGCACATTTAGCTCTGTATCTCCGAAATGGCGGGACCTGTATTTGCCAAAAACTAATCACACATCCATTTTTTCTGAGGTATTCCAAAATGTTCAGAAACTTTCAAAACGTCGACAAATGCAAATGTTTTCATTTTCGATTTTTGGTCCATTACTATACCTACTCTACGGGAAGTTAATAAATGATAACTAGGTGTAAGTGGCATTTAGCCTTAAGGCAAATTAATCAAAAATATATAAGATTTACAAATACTTGATCAAAATTTTTGGCTAAAACGTGGACAAAAAAATGTTGTACTTATGTGCTAATTGTAAAGAAAGGGATAAGATAACAAAAATTATATTGGAAAAGTAAATGGATAACATTCGAATTTTATTTTAAAAATTTTTATTTTAATTTTGATTGGTGAAGCTGTTTTTGACGAAAGGCATACCCAAAAGATTCAGAATGACTTGAAACGTCTGCAGGAACTAGAAACTTTTACTTCGTACCTCAATTTATAATTATTATTTTTATATGATTGTTATTGTTAAAATACTTATTATTATAGTAATATATTTAGTAACTAAAGACTTATAATTTAAAAACACTTAAAAAATTGTGAAACAAAATATTTCTTTCACCAAAATACCTAAAAATTTGTAAAAGAAAAAACTTATATTGTAAAAATACTTAATAATAATAATGACAATAATAATAATGATAATAATAATAATATAAAACGCTTAAATTTGTTAAAATATCATAAAATAACCTAAAATTTGTAAATAAAATAATTATGTTGTAAAAGTATTATAAAGCTTATTAAAATACTTACTAAATTTTTAAAAAATACTTACAACAAACAAACTAGTTATATTTAAAAATAATTAAAATTAACTATAAATATAAATAAGTTTATAGTAAATAAATTAAATAATAAATAAATAAGTAATAAAATAGCTAATACTTAATTAAATTATATTAAATCTGCAAGATATTGACTTGAGCCTTATTATATTATTATTATACCGACAGCTTGTAAAATAAATAAATAAATAAATTTTATCTTGATTTTCATGTTAATAATCTACTTGTTTTTCCTTCTAATGACTCATTTCTGTGTAAATAAGTCTGTAAGATATTAAATTGGGATCTCAAACGATTCAGAATGACTTGGAACGTCTGCAGAAACTATAAACTTCTACTTCATACCTTAAATAAATTCTACCTTGATTTTCATGTTAATAATTTACTTGTTCTTTCTTCTAATGACTCATTTCTGTGTAAATAAGTGTAAGATATTAAATTTTATACCTTCATTGTTTACTAACGTTATCAAGTGAATAATTTTCATTGAAATCCAATTATAACGCAATTATATTGTTATATTTTGATAACGACGTATTTAGAAATATTTAGAAATACACAATTTGGAAATTTACTAAGAAAAGCTTTGAAATAACATTACATTTTTCTGAAAAAAAAAAACGCTTTGTCAAAGAAATTTTTAAGATAAAATTTTATCCTAAAATTTCTAAAACATTTCAAAAAAATCATACACACTTTTAAACTTACGATTGTAAATAAAATTAATAGGATTACATATTTTTTGAATTAATAACTTATAATATCAAATTATTTTAGTTATCTAAAAATAACTTCTTTCTAAAGAAATTGGGAAGTAGATTTAGAATAAAATTTAATATAAAACTATGTAAAATATTTGCTTAATAGTTTTTAAAATATTCAATATTTTTAAAACAGTCTTTGGGAAAGTTGGACAATAATAACTATTTCTAATACTGAAATTTTCTATGAACAATATTATTCCATCAAAAAATAAAAAAGTCAGTCACTAAGTAACATTGGTACACGCATGCATTTTATTACTATTTATTTGATAACTTTTAAAATATTTAGTATTTTTTTGATACAGTCTTTGGAAAACTTAAATAATATAAAATTATTTAAAACTTTTTTTAATATCATGATTATCTGCAATAACTATTACTCAATCAAAACTATCATTGAAGCGAACACTTTTTGTTTTACTATTTATTTGATAACATTTAAAATATTTAATACTTCTTAATACAGTCTTTAGTTTTTAATACGGTTTTTAACAAACTTAAGCATTACTAAATTATCTATTATTTATTATTATAAAAATTTTATCTTTTGTTTATAAAATAATATCAGTATTTTTTATCCAAAAATTTCACCTTGTATTAAATCTTATTTCTACTTATTTTATCCCTCATATCGACATTCAATAACGATTTTTTAACACTTGCACAACTCGAATCGTCACAATTTTTTCACACACTGCAATTTATTTGTTGTACTTTAATACTGTTTATAAATATTTAAACTATTTATTCAAATAACGCTGTTATCAGCGTTATAAGACGAAACGAGCTCTCCTTATACAGACGTCGAGTCTACTAAAGCGTTTCGTGATGTCATGTGAAACCAGAAATTATAAATGTATATGTATATGTATATATATATATATATATATGTATATATAAATATATATATATGTATATGTATGTATGTATATATGACTAATATATATTCGTTTGTCTGATGTCTGTCTGTATATTTGTAAATAACTATTGAAATCGTGAAGGTCAAACTTTAAGGAGATGAGATTTTGTGGTTTTCATTTTAGAGTGTGAAAAAATCTTTCTTTTGCAATCAATTTTGCCTAAGGGCAAGTTGCATGAACATCCCTTTAATGTGTGAAAAGATTAAGTATCAATAAAAATCAAGAATTTGCTATTTAGTAAATATTTTTAATTGTTTATTCCAAAATTAGAGTTTTTGCTGTTTCTATAAAGCTTTCAATGCAATTTCTAATTATTATTATTATTTTTTGTTACAATTTATTTTTGTTAATCGAGACTTTAATGTCTTATTTACAAAATTGATATGAACAAAAAAAAATACAACAATACAAAAAAATGCAATATAATTGAATATAAAATGAAAAAAGTTAAAATAAAAATAAAATAAAAACAGTAATACAAAAATAATAACATAAATGAATTTCTAATTAATATCTTTAATATTTTTTTATAATTTTGCAATATTCCTAGGCCTATAATATTTTAGTATGTTCTCTTTCGAAAAGTTCATAATTCATAACTGAATGATATTAAACCTAATATTTTTTTTAGTATAATAGTTACAACTGCTAAGTAATTTAACATCAAGTAACAATAATGAACAATAACATAAATTTAAATAAAAATAGTGCAAAATAAAGGCTAGAATTTTCAATAAAATAATATCCGTAGAATATTGATTTAATATAAAATAAAAGCAAATAATAATAATAATAAAATTAATAAATAAAATGAATAATTTTTTTTAATAATACTGGAAAAACAATAGAGAAGAATAAAAACAATAGGTGACAGATAATAATAAATATAACAAAATAATATTAGAAATAATATAATATAATAATATAATAGTGATAATATAATGATAATAAATATATTAATATCAATGTATACTGAAATGACATAGTAATAAAATTGTTATACAATTTAAAAATAATCTGAGTAAAAAAATTAGTTAATTAATTATTTAAATTAAATTTTGAGTAATTACAATATTTATAATATGTTCTGGATTTGAAATTCGTTAAAGAATTAAAATTATTTTGACGATATAAAATACTTTAACTAATTCAAATATCAGAAAAATTTATATATTTTCTCAAAATTAATTTAGTTTTTATTAAAAACCATTATGTCAAAAATGTATAAATGAAATTTTTGACAATTGTTGGGCTTTGTACCCCTTTTTCAGAGGTTTTAGAAAATTTAAACTGTTTTTTTACAGTTTTTGAAGATTCATAGTAAATAAACTGAAATGATATTAAACCTAATAATGAAATTGTTATACAATTTAACCATTTGAAAAAGAAAATCGAATTAGAAATTTGAAGTTAAAGATTTAAAATTTGTTAATGAATTAAAATTATTTTTACGATATAAAATTCTTTAACTGATTCTAATTTCTGCAAAACTTATATATTTACTCAAATTCTTACCCCTATTTTTTGTAGACAAGTAAAATGTCAAAATTATGCATAAATGAAGTTTTTGATAATTTTTGGGCTTTGTACCTCTTTTTCAAAGGTTTTAGAAAATTTAAACTGTTTTTATAGTTTTTGTAGATTCATAATAAACTAAAATGAACCAAATAATCAAATTGTTATATAATTTAACAATTTGAAAAAGAAAATCGAATTTGAAATTTGAATGTATAAAGATTTAAAATTTGTTAATGAATTAAAATTATTTTCACGATATAAAACTCTTTAACTGATTCTAATTTCTATAAAATTTATATATTTACTCAAAATTTCTTCTTCCTAAATTTTTGGTGCCAATAAGTACTAAATTAATTTTATATTTATTAAATGAAGTTTTTGAAAATGTTTGAGCTTGTACCCCTTTTTAGAGGTTTTAGAAAATTTAAACTGTTTTTTACAGTTTTTGCAGATCTTTACAAACCACTTTACAAACTACGTTTTTTACCACTTATTTTTTATCAGTTTTTACAAACTTTCTTATTTTTTTTGTAAATTTTATCCATCAATGTTTTATCTTCATGGTAAAATAGTTTTGCATGCATTCGTCGATTTATATTATATAATATAATAAATCAAAGTTTGTTTGTGTACATTTCGAAAACAGCAAAAACGACTTACAGCTGTTTTCTGCAAAACAGATTTTGGCAACTGAAATAAAACATATGACAGAAACAAATTTTGCCAAAAAAATGACTTATATTTATATCCTATGATTTATTAATGAAAAATAAAAAAAACTCTGTTCACACACACACACATACTTTTTCCAAATTTGGTCTCATTCGATCCAGAATGGCTTGAAACGTCGAGAAAACATAAAATTAGCAAATCGGATTTTTTTATGAAAACAAACTTCTCCTTCGGGAAGTTTTCACTCAATAACATATTAAAAATAACAAAAAATTATACCAAGGTAAAAAAATATATATTCCTGTATTGTTTTAGTATATGTCTTGTAAGTTTAAACAGTTTGTTAAATACGAGTATAACTAGAATATTTGTTAAAGTATAAATTTAAATTGTTTATAATATTTTCTAATATTGTACAACTCGGTAGTCTTAAAGATTATAATTACATAATTAAAATTAATCTGCGAAATGATTTTTTGAATATTTTGACAGGAACTATCGGTATTTTCCTAAGTTTACAAGAATTTGGAAGGTTAAAAGTAAAATTTACTTACATAAAATTCACTTACATAAAATTCGTAAGATGTCAATACAGCTTCCCATGTCGAACAAAATATTTATTTCGATTTAAATTAAAATGTTTTCGACTTCTGAGTCCACAGTTTGTTCTTTTCACCACCAAGTCAAAACAATTCAATATTTATTTCTTCACTTGTTAGAAAAATCGATGGAATTTGTTTAAGAAATTTATTTAACCAATTTATTTAAAACTAATTTATTTAATTAATACGACATTTGAAATTTTTACACAAATTGTATTTATAAATTTGTATGTAATAAGTTAGATTAACTGGCGATGATTGAGTGTTGAAAACAGAACTAAACTAAATTTTATATACACATACTCTAAATAATTTTCATCTATTTTAAGATACTTGCTCTAAATTTAGAAATTTATAAACACATAAATTCTGTGGGAGTGCGAAATGTACTTAACTTTATCTAGGTTAACAAAATTGGGGGGAAAAATTAGAAAAAATATTAATTAACTTCCCTTAGGGTAGTTATAGTAATAGGCCGAAAATCGAAAATGAAAATTTTTGCATTTCTCGACATTTTGAAGGTTTCTGAACATTTTGGCATACCTCAGAAAAAATAGATGTTTGTGTATATATATGGATACAATAAGTCTGGTGCCATACACCACTAGTTTATAATTTTATTATAAGAGACTTACAATATTATTTTAAACTTAAGAAATATTTGATATTTTTTTATCATTACCTGTGACTACGTGCCATATGGATCCAATAAGTCTTGTGTTGAAAAATGATGAAGACATCTCTTCTTATTTATTTATTTTTAGAACCTAGAACATTTTTATAAATGTATCAATTAGTATATTTAACACCTTATTAAATTAACACATAAGTTAAAAAATAATATATATAGGCAATGTACTAGGAAACATATTTTATGTACACTTTGTCATCAAATCCAAAAACAATAATCTAATAATAGTAATAATTTAAATTATTTTTTAGCAAATTTTGCTTATATTAAATTAAGAGATTTGGAAACATTTTATACATAATTTATTAAATAAATCTAATGACTTCACTTTTTCCTTCTTGGCCTGGAAGTTTCCTTTGTGTTTTTTTTTTAATATTTTATTTGCTGATAGTTGACCAAAATGTTAATAATATATATTGCATCCATATTTTAATTATTACTATATTTGTAAATGTCGTTTAGGAAAAGTTCAACTTTTTTACATTTTGCCTTTTTTTTCATTAAATATTTGAATTAAAGCAAAAGAAATATGAAATTTTGAAAATAACTTCACACAATTAACAATAAAACAACTTTGAATTCGATGATATTTCTTTAGCAATAAATAGAAAATTCGGGTCATTTGTTTGGTTTTTGTCTAATAACTCACGAATATTATATGAAAGCATCCATTTTAAGTTAGACAGGGTGAAACTACATAAAATTTACAACATTTCCTAGGGAACACTTTAATACACTCCGATATAAAAGTCTCAAATTAAATAAAATAAATAACTAAGTAAATAAAGTTTTAATTTCTTTACAATTTAAATAATTCAGTAATTACTAATAACTAAAATACTTTACAATCAATTTTGCAAATTTAATAACAATTACTCTGAATAAAATTTTATAAATTGTCTATAATTTTAATTTAATAAACAACTGTAAATCAATCAAGTTAGCTGTATTTTCAATGCTTGTTTGATTGAATTTTACTTTTTGAAGGACCAATTATAAAATACTTCAATTTGTAACTAGTAATATTTATTTTATGTTAATTACATAAATTACATCGTATTTATAATATATTCAAAATTGTTTTTGATAACGTATTGATTGATTTGATTTTTTGTATGATCGATTGATAATTTTTTGTTTATATATCAATATAACCGCATCCTTTGATACAGCGAGAACATTAGCAATATTAATAACAACTATTTAATCATAGATTACATGTATTATATAGTCGTTTTATTCAAAACTTTTATATCGAAGTATATAAAAGTGTTCCCTAGGTAGTGTTGTAAATTCTATCTAGTTTCACCCTATGTAACCGAAAAGGGGTTGTTCCATATGAAATTTTTGAGTTATTTGACAAAAAACAAAAAATGTCCCGAATTTTCTATATTTATTGCTCAAGAATGAAATATCGAATTCAAAGTCGTTTTATTCAAAACTTTCATATCGGTGTGTATAAAAGTGTTCCCTAGGAAATGTTGTAAATTGTATCTAGTTTCACCCTATCTAACTGAAAAGGGGTGGTTTTATATGAATATTTTGAGTTATTTGACAAAAACCAAAAATTGTCCTGAATTTTCTATATTTATTGCTCAAGAATGAAATATCATCGGTACGGCGTTTTGCACGCTGACCTGAAACTTGCAAAGTTTTAGGTTAAATGCAAACCTTGCCTACCGGGGTAGCTTCGATCCATACTTTAAAAAAAATTTTTAGCTTATAATTACTATATTTATTTTTATTAACTGTAAATGTCTTGGACGAACACAAAAAGTTTTATCAAAACCGGACAACCCGTTTAGAAAAAGTTCAACATTTTTACATTTTGCCATCTTTGTAAAATATATTTTTTACTCCTAAATTAGTGCAGTAGCTGGTAGTATAATAATGCAATACACATATATATTAATCTAATAATTTATTTATATTATTATTATTGATATTATTAATTTTATTAATCGACTAATATTATTTTGGATGCATGTGCATGATCTACAAATCGCAGGTTCAGTAGTTGACGGTTACACATCCTTGGAAAGAGGTTCTAACCAGGTCAGGGCCAGGTTTGGTAAGATTATTATTGAAAATTTGGAAAAATTGGAAAATTTAGGCTTTTGTTTGTCTGGAAAAAAATCATTCATCATCTCATAGAAAAAAATTGAAAGCTTTGTCACATATAAACACACATTGAGACAGAGCTTTCTTTTGTCTTCATATTTTATTTGGGGGTTCTGCTTAGGTTTCTACGATGTTTTTTTTTTCATATTGTTTAATGAAAAAATTAAAAATATTAGATTTTATTAAAGAAATATCTAGTTTGTCTAAAAAACTTAAGTTATTAAATTAAGAAAGTTGGAAACGTTTTATATATAATTTATTAAATAAATCTAACGACTTCACTTTTTTCCTTCTTGACCTGAAAGTTTCCTTTGTGTTTTTTTTTAAATATTTTATTTGTGTGACCAAAATGTTATTAATATATATTGGAGTCATATTTTGCAAATTAATTTTTATTATGTATGTTTCATGCTTTTTAATTATTTTAATTTTATTTTAACATTTTGATGGGTATTGTCGTTGTAACCTTGATCAGTGTCCACAATGCACCGCTATCAATAACATTAAATATAGGAGGGCAATATGTGCTTCTATTTCTCATTTGTTAATATAATAGTATATTATTATTTTACACAAATTTAGTGTTCAATCAATTTTAGATTATAATTATTTTTTCTGTTGTTGTTCCTGGTTTGCTATGTATATAATTTTCTCGTTTTTATATATTTATATTCATCATCAACTTTGTATTTATGTTATATGTTTTTTAGCTTACTGAATGATGACACACATCAAGTGTCGAAACGTTTAATGGAGTAAATAATTTTGTTATTTAATCTTTTTTTAATTCGACGATTGGGCTGCAAAAATATTACATATATATATTACTATAATTATTACTATTATATTTTTTTCCCAGTCAATTACCTTTCTCAAACAATTACAAACGTCAGGTTTATTTTGCATTCTTGTTATCGTATAATTCGATCATTAAATATTTTATTACATAACGATTGTATTATTTTGAAGGAATATTTAGTCATTAGTCAAAGACTTTAGCTATAAAATATTATAGCATGCTTCATCGAATAAAATAAGGCTAGAATTGCATGCAAAATTGGAACGAAGTTTTCGAATTAAAAAAAGAAATATAAGGGAAATTATATACGAGTATATTCTCTATTTTTGCGACAGATTTGTTCACAAAAAATTTAATATTTTAAAAAGCATATTGAAAGTATTTTAATTTTTCAAGGACATTATATATTTCTCATATTTAATATTGTTAAAACTTTATATATAATAAATCAAATTTTATTTATGACTTACAAAATCAAATTAATATTATTATATAGCAACCTTGATTCATTTATTGCAGTTTATTAAATTCGAATTATAGACAAAGTAAATATAAATATAAATATAAATATAAATGTACATATAAATATAAAAATATATATAAATATAAATATTTAAATATAAATATAAAAATATAAATATAAATATAAACATATAAAAATATAAATATAAATATAAAAATATAAATATAAATATAAAAATATAATTATAAATACAATATAAAAATATAAATATAAATATAAAAATATAAATATAAAAATATAAATATAAAAATATAAATATAGAAATATAAATATAAAAATAAATATAAAAATAATTTCATTTATTTTATTAATGTTGTTTGAATTTTTGTTATGAAATTTAAATTGTAAGCAAAATAGAATTTTATTTAATTTGATTATTCACTTTATGTAACAGATTTTAATTAAAAAAGTAATTATTTTTACTGTTTTCTTTTAAGATTATGCTTAAATTTATATATTTAAGTTTAAAAGATATAGAAAATATAAGACTTTTTTCAATTACAAACTGCATTAAATAATATAATTTAATTATAAATCTTGAAAGAAAAACAGTAAAAATAATTACTTTTTTAATTAAAATCTGTTAACATAAAGTTAAATAAAATAAATAATCAAGTTAAATAAAATTCTACTTTGCTTAGAATTTAAATTTTATAACAAAAATTCAAACAAGATTATTAATATAAATAAAATTTTGCTTTGTCTATAATTTAAATTTAATACACTACAATAAATTAATCAAGGTTGCTATATAATAATTATTATTTGATTTTATAAGTCATAAATAAAATTTGTTCATCTTATATATAAAAATGGAGCTCTCGATAAAATTATCTGCCAAAACTCGAAAACGGCTAAACCGATTTGGCCAGTTTTAGTCTTGAAAAATTCGTGCTAATCAGTAGGTTGTCGGAAAGGTGAGATATTATTACAAAATCGCCTAGAAACTTTACATTTTTAATTCGAAATTTTTGTAGAAGCGTAATTTAAATAAAACAATGGACGGTGGCTAATACGTCAAATGTCAAACGTTTTTGACAGGTGATTTTCAATTACGTTTAATAGGTTGTTTTACGTGAATATTATTTTTATGATTGAATATTATGATTAAATTGTAGTAAGTAGTTTTGTTCGTAGTTATATTTATACACAAAAACGTTAGTAAAAGGGCCGTAAGTGTTACTAGAAACTCAAAATATCAACAAATGTTAATATGAAAATGGACTTTTTGGCATATTTTTCTCATCATTGTATATAGCATTCAAACAACACATCCTTACACACTTAAAGTAATAATATTTTTGATTCTCTAGAAATTGTTTAGAATATACTTTATTTAGCAAAACGTCGTTTGCCGGGTCAGCTAGTATATATAATATATAAATAAAAATATTTTCAATATGCTTTTTAATTTTTTACCATGTTACCATCAATAATCACAAAATACTTCGAAAATTTAAAAATATTAACAAAAATTAATGCCACAGGGTAAACCGGTAGGGCGTTTTGCACGCTGACCTGAAACTTGCGAAGTTTTAGGTTAAATGCAAATCTAGCCTACCGCTTCGGAGTAGTTCAAATAATGATTTTTTTTTTTTTTTTGAATTTAAAAATGATTTATTAAAATAAT